ATAAAAAAAAAAAAAAAAAAATAGCGAAAATGGATGGATACTTGATCCGATGGAATAATTCAAAAAAAAAACAAATAAATAAATAACAAGGTAAAAAAAAAAAAGATAAAAAATCGTGAAAGGAAAAATGAGAAGGAAATCTAATTTGAGACCGACTTTGGGGGACTACGGGCGCAAAGCCCGTAAATGAAATTTTCGTAGGTGTAAGCTAGAGAGAAAGAGAGTTTCCAAGTCCTCGAGGAATATTAATATAGACATTAGTACCCCTCTGACCGAGGAGGAGGTGACTACTTTCGCTTAAGTGTATTTACACGCACACGTGTAAGTTTGCAACGTGTACCGAGTTCGATCATACCGACCGACATCACCACCAACGTATGGATCTTTGCTGTTGCCAATATGCAGTCTCGCGCTTCTCGCATAAATCATTTCTCGCAATATCTATCCGACCCCTTCGGCGTTCCTATTCCTTAAGGAGCCTAACTTTCCTATATATTCTCTAGTTAGGAAACATCTTAGGAATATATTATTCGAACCGATAACGAAATTTCACTTTTTTTTTATCCGTTAATCCGTGTCTCTCGTTACGATATTTTTTTCTTTTCTTTTTAATCGATATCATAGACATGCGACCTAATTATACGATCGATAAAGGAAGAGTACTTTGTACTCGAGAATCACGTAATTTTTAGGTTATATTCTTAACGAGGATGCGAGCGAGCGAACAAAAAGTAATATCGAAACCAAGTTTTTAAACTGTCGCGGAAATATTCCCAGATTTCTCCTCTCTCTCTCGATACAAACTTCGTCATCGAGATAAAGAACGAAAAGTACGAAGAATGCACAACGCAAATTCGCAACGGTTTGTTAAAGAGAGCGATCTCGCCTCTTCCCGTAGCTGCATTACGTACACTTCGAACGATCGAAAAACATTTATGACGCGAATCGATAAATATCGATCTTTTTTCTTCCCAACAAACGTCGAGAATTGCATAGATGAATGCACGCGGGATGAAAAATAACATTGGACGTCGAAGGATACGTGATCGAAATATTTTTCTGGTTTATAAAAAAATAACAAGAAACGCGACATTGCACGCGCAAAAAGCACGAAATTCGCGTTAAACTAGTGGATTTTCCTCTATATCTCGGTAGATGTCACAAGTTAAGCATAGGCCTGTTTCCTTATTTCGCCTCTCAGTGTCGTGTCGCTAGGAGAGAAGGGAGACGCGTTATCTCGACGACTTAAGGTAAATATAACGCGTTATAACCGCGACAGGTTTAGAGGTTAATCGTATTTCTCTAATTCCGTCCTCTTTCAGTGTCGTTCATTCTTTCAGTGTCGTTCGTTCTTTCAGTGTAAACGTCTCGTTCTTTTCACGAGGAAAAGTTCTTCTTCGGTGTGTCGAATCCATCGCGTCCAATCCTAGTGATTTCAAAATTTTCTCTCGAGATTGTTTCCGATGTAACCGTTCGCGTTACGTCGCAATATCCTCGAGTCACGTAAAAGCATTCGTTTTTCAGATATATATCGAAGAACCATCACTTTTCGCACGAAATAAATAACATTTCATCGTTCTTTTTATGCGGATCGCATTGTTTGTTTTCAAACGTTCGAAATTAACGAGAGAATTTTGCCGTAATCGTTTCTCCCATATTTGCTTGGCGTGTAACTCATTCCCACCATTTTCACGAAAAGTTTTGCATAGATGGAGACCTATGTTCGCGCGTATCCTTTGTAGATCCTTTCCTTTGATACTCGATTCGTTGACTCACCGCGTATCTACGTTCAAATCGAATATCTTTCTTTATTTACTTTATTTCGAGAATTGATTCGTAATTTCGAAACGGTTAACCACTTTGTAAAGGCGTTCGAACGATATATATATATACGATGTATATACATACGTTGTACTATTATTCTTCACGAAAAATGGTATAATAAAATATTAACCGATGGCGGTATTGGACGAGGCCGTCGATATTCTCGGTATGTTTGGCCGTTAAATTGAGATCAGCCGATTATATAGATGGCACGTGGTTACAGAAACCGAGATATCCGTGAGTCGATCAGATCATTTGAATGTAATTCGGAAATTTGGAATATCGGAAAGGATAATTGAAGATAATTCACGATTAAAGAGAATTGTTTGAAAATAATAATAATAATATCGCATCACGATATTAAACTATTAATGAATTAGTATCGATTCGTAACGGAATGCTCGGTTATAATATTAAATTCGAACGCATTTTTTAATTTCCATTTCTATTTTAATTCCATTGATCTTAAGATCGTTCGAGCGGTTATTAGAATCGGGTAATAAAGGAGGATGGAGAAGGATGATCGATTGGTCTAATTTTAAAGAGGAAGCGTTCTCGAAACGGCTTGTGCAACAGCGAGTGTTTAGGACACAAAAGAGGGGCAGATCCTAAATTTTGGGTAAGCGGGTGTCGTAATTAGGGTGCGCGGTGGTGGTGCATTGTACGGGATTGTCCCATTATACGGGAAAATTAAGACGAGGGCTTTATTATCGTGTTTTGACAAGCGTGGGAAAGGACTGGCCAAATTAAATACTCCGTGTCGTTAATTTGTCGTTGTGCCTGCAAATTTATCAAGTGTTATTCCACCAGTGAAATAATACAAATGAAGTTCGTCTTTTCCGATGATAAAGCGTCTAAAAAGTAAGTACTTTTTTTTTTCATCTCTTTTTTTTTATCGAATAAAGAGCGTAATAAAATTATATATTATATATATATATATATATATAAATTAACGGATCATATTTTACGTATTAGGAAGCATCATGTGTGTTCTAATCATCCCTATTAACACTCTCTCGCTCGTTTTTCAACCGTTTGCGAAAATCCATCCTTGCTTGCATTTCTATCGCGTTTAACTGGTCTACTACCGGTTATGCCAACGGTTTAAATCTAAAACGACTACCATCGAATCGTACGTAATTGCGAACCGACTAATCCTCCTTCAACTTTATACCACGTGGAATATCCATGATAGAATATACCATGGATTAAAAATTAAAAAGGAATAGGACAAGTATGTATCGATTATCAATCGCGTTTATTTTTCTATCCTTAATTAAGTCGGGGATTATTTTCGAAATCGGTGTATCACGAAAAAGTATCGATCGACGAAAACTAACGGAACTTTGTCGAATGGATAAAAATCGATTTCGCGTAAATTGGGGCGAGAATATAGATATACAGTCGCACGTTGAAAAATCACTTTCCGTGGAAACGTTTCGTTTCGAGCGATACACCGTATTTGTTGCACCAATTAAAATAGATTTGTTACACGTCCGTTTTGCGAATCAATTGCCTTTTCCTCCACCGATCAACTTGTAAATAGCAACGATTAATCGATGCGGTGCGATATTTCCGAGCGTCGACACCTCGGCCAACACGATTACACGTCGATCGTCGTTTTTTCCATCGACCGATCAAACTTGCCGATTTTTCCCCGACGCGACGCTACTTTTTTTTTTTTTTTTTCATCCGTGTGAGAACCATGTATCCTCGAACGACATCCACCCGAGAAATTGGCCACCGCCGCCGTCGACTCCGTGAACCAGCGATAGTATCATAGGAACAGGCAAATCTACGTAGCGGATAGGATGTAGCGACGTATCCACCACAACCCTGTGTAGGAAATGCCGCGTATATTTCGAGCGTAATCGATCTTTCCGCATCGCGAATCGCGGCATCAACGCATAGAAACGTTTCGAGTAGGTATTCAAACCAGTTTCGCCTTTCCCCGGCTACATGTTTCTTATGTATTGTTATTCGCATATACGTATATACCTTGTACGTATATACGTATATAGGGAGAATCTCAATCTCAATGTACCTACTAAACGGTACATCGTTTCCTAATTCTCCTCGTCTTGCGTTTCAACCACGATTTCGATCAAAATTGACTCGTATCGAGTCGAAACGCGCGTACAAAATAGGGACGATGATTTTTCCGCAAGCTTGGGAGAGATTAGGAAGAGACAGAGAGAGAAGTTTCGGCCATGTTTCGGATAACACGATCCAATCTTTGGCTATCGCTGTTCGTTACCAGACA